GTGTACAGCTACCACTTGCGAAGAATTGTCAAGTGCCACGCGCAAAAACGAGCAATCTTCATCTTTTCAGGATTTAGGGTTCTTCTAGGTAGGCCTGAAGCCCGCTCGCCCACACTGCTCCAGTGCGAGCTGGATGTGTTAAGCCCTAAACCGCAAACGTTACACCATCAGCCCACAACCCGCCTCCAGAAGAAATGGGCAGGGCCCTAATTTAATAGAGTAAAATAGAGTATACTATTGTAGAATATACTATGATAGAGTAGTCTCCTTGGAACTTTGCTTTTTCAATTCAAAAAGCCAGACCTGTGGATCACAGGAAGATCCAAGCCCTATATACTTCCAATACATTTCCTCTTTTGGGTCCCAATTAGGGTTTAGGGTTTTCAGTGTTTTTAACATCAGTGCTATATGGGGGTTATATAGAGACAATGGAAAAGAAAATGGACACGACTGTTTAGGGTTCAGGGTTCTGCCTTCGCTCTTAAGCAGGTATCTAGGCTAGGCATCCTAAGCTTCATCGGAAGAAAGTAAATTTTAAAGTTTGGCGTTAAGTTTAAGTGGGTTGCAGGATTTTGGGTTGGAAGGCCCAGGGCCACTTGGAGATTTCTTTTCGGAATGTGCAGCCATTCTCCACCTAGAGTTCCGCCGGGTTGACGCTCTTCCAAGCCCTTGCCCGCGTACCCCGTTAATTCAAAAAAGCACAGTGTGCGGTGTACGGTTGTACGGTTTGAGGAATATGCCATGAATGGAGTGGGCGGGGTGCATTATTAGGGGAGCTGATTGTGCTAGGCAGCTTGTAACTTCGTAAGCTCTGCACATTTCGCTGGCCTCACTTGTCCTGAAAACTCCCATGGAGACGGCTGACTGCAGAACGGAGGCCGCTGATGCTATTTATGGCCTGGATCCTAAACCCTACCCTCCCCCAAAATAAACATGGAACTCCAGAGAGCCCGGTCAAGAGTCAAGAGGGTAGTAGCTTTTTTATAGTGCCCCTTTGGGAGTTTCCATGTGAGTTTGGAGGAAGGTAATCCCTGAACCTTGGACCCCAACAAGCCTACAAAATCCTCGGCACTCCAACCCCAAAACCATATCGAATCCTACCGTAGACCCTAAACTAAAATCTCTTCGGCTTCTACATTCTGAATTGGGAGCATCCCGTGGGCCCATTTTAGGGTTGTTAGGGTGGGGTTAGGGGGTTTAGGGTTTCTGGATTTAGGATTTTGGGGGGTTAGGGTTCCTGGGCTCCTGGGCTTCGGGTTTAGGATTTGGGGGACCCCACCGGGTAAGAGTGGTGCAGTAGGAATGTGTAGAGACCTACATGATGCCCATCTTCCGTTCTGCTCATTCATCCTGGATGTGCTCGCGTTCTGGGGGTTTCCCAAGATAGGGGGTCCCATAAGGACCCTTCAAACCGGCGATAGCAATATGTAGGTCTTAGGGACCTTGGGGCCCAATTTTCAGAACCGCTCGGTGTTTTCTGGGGTAACTAATTGCTAGGGTCTGTTGCGGGGTAGTTGTATGCTTGATGGCCTGAGTCTGAAGTATGAAGGCAGCTAGTACACCCCTTGAAGCTGAAGTCGGACATTCTTGAGATATACTTCCTTACGTAGATAGGATGTGGGGTATATGAGGATCTTATTATGGTATCGGGGAGTGCCATATCCTATCTACTTGGGTGGCTGTCAAAATTGTGGTCCCTTTTGGTACCCCAAATATAGGTGCTGTATTATAATAAAAGACCCCGAAAGGGACCATAATTTTGACAACCACCCAAATATAACCCCAATATACTATAGTAGTTTCCATTTTCTTTTCCATTATCCCCCATAGAACCCCAATATGACCCTAACATAACCCTGATGGGTACCATAATTTTGACAACCACCCACTTAAACGCTGAACCCTAAAGCCTAAAACCGCTTCTGAGCTCGCTTTTGAGGATGGGGTCCGCATCGGCCCGTGACAGCGACGGCCGTCTCAAACCTAAACCCTAAACGGTTTGGGGTTTGGGGTTCAGGGGTTCTAGGGCTTAGGGTTTAGGGGTTCAGGGGCTTAGGGTTTAGGGGTTCAGGGGCTTAGGGTTTAGGGGTTCAGGGGCTTAGGGTTTAGGGGTTCAGGGGCTTAGGGTTTAGGGGTAAGGAGGACTGTAGGCACTCCTGTGTCCCGTCGGATGCTCCCGCTCGAATCGTGTAGGACCCCTCTAGGTCTCCGCTTTGGTAGTTAGGATATACAGGAGCTTCTCAAACAGACCCTCCCTACTCCTACACCCTGAGCGGTGTAAACCTGAACCTATGGTCCTTGTCTATCCCTTGGCTGCGGCAGCGAACACCTCCTTCAAGAAGCCTTCAAATGTACCTAAGAATTCTGCACATCAACCCTTGCCATGTGCCTATCTAACCCATACAGCCCCTGTATAGGGGTTCACCCCTAAACTCTAAACACTGAACCCTAAATCCTGAACACTGAGCCTTATTTGGGGACGCAGCCTACACCTTGCAGGTCAACAGGCATACGTGACAGCAGGTCCTTGCCTCAGGGGTTTAGGACTTAGGGTTTAGGGTCTAGGGGTTTGGGGGTGTACTGGCTTGCTGCTCAGGAACTTAAGCTAAATTACCATACAATGGGTAAAAGGTTAATAATGTGATTGCCTTCTTATAAATTTTACTTTAAGCTCCTTAGCAGCAACCCAATTTAGGGCCATAAGGCGCTTAAGTTTCAGGGTGTAAGGTTTAAAGGACTAGAGTGGCAGGTTGTATATACCCGCCCCAAACAAACATGAAACTCCATATAGACCCCATTCAAAAAGGCTGTAGTCTACATAGGCTCCCTTTTCAGGTTCCATGCTAGCTAGGGACAGGATAGACTGTAGGGTTCAGGAAGTTCAGGGCTTAAGGGTTTAGGGTATAGGGGGACCCGAAGCCTTAAACCCTATACCCTAAACCCCACGCCCTAAACGGGGTGGGAAAAAAAAAACATGGTCCGAAAGAAAGCCAAGACTTGTGGGGAGCCCAATATCCAGCTGACGCCCATGGCACCCTTTTGTGTACGATATAGGGGCCTATTTAGTTGGGTTTAGGTTTTACGTCTTAGGGCTTAGGGCTTAGCAATTTTTATGTTTCACGGATTAGGGTTTGGAGGTTTATGGTATTATGGTTATATGAAGATTATAATGGGGCAATGTCGGTACTTATTTAGGCTTTTGCAGTACATGGGGCCTTCCAACAATTAGGGGTTCCCTGTCGTGGGGTACCAGGTGCCTGAGGGGCACTTCCGTGCAGCGCAGTACCTTTGACAAGACTATATACTACAGTAGATCGGGGAATGAACTCAAGGAGGCCCCTCCTAAACCTTAAACCCTATACCCTAAACCCCTAAACCCTAAACACCCTGAGCAGAATCCAGACCGTGTATAGGACAACCAAAAGAGGGGCACCTACTCCCGTCTGCATTGTGGAGAGCCTGCCCAAATCCTACTTGCTTAGCGTGTTCGCGGCAATGCCCAGGACCCTTAAGCAAAAGCCCGGGAACATCCACTGGCTCTGTGATTCCCAACCCTAACCCAGCTGAAGAATAATGACCACTGCTCTTGTCTTTAGAGCCGGTAAAGAACAGATCTTGAACACATTTGGGCCTAATGGTCCCTGAATCCGAACACATGGAATTGGCAGCAAACCACTTGAACCGTATTTCAAGAATCGCTGGGGTCTGACAAATGACGCACCTTCCCCGTACTGGTAGTAAGGAAACCCTAAATCCTAAACCTGCTTGCATTGCCTGCCTGAGCGTCGCACACCCATTTGTAGGCCTTGACCGAACAGGCCGAGCCCGTTTGTGCAACGGTTTAGGGTTTAGGGTTTAGGGTTTCGGGTTTAGGGTCTAGCTCAGTGATTCTCTCTGATGAGTCATGGGGACATCTATCACACCATGTCTTGATAAAACCATCCCCTAATCATCCCAAATCTCTGTCTTCACACTTTGAAATACATGGAAATCATGGCATGGCATGGCATAACATTGCTCAGCCTGGCATGGCAAAGCTTATGTACAGACATACATGATAGGTGGGTGTGAAGTATTGCAGGCTGTTGCCGTGGATAAACTTACCTGTGGTTAGTATGGAATAAGGGAAATAGAGTCCCTGCAGAATCTCTACATGATATATTCCATGTTTCCCTACAAACCCTAAGCTCTATACCGTGCATATGTTCCCTCACTTCATACTAACCACCCGTAAGTCAACCACCTGAACCCTAAAACCTTGTACTATATGCATACATACATATACATACATACACATATATATATATATACATGTCTTTTCCTCATGGTTCCTTTATTCCCTACTTGCAACCGGTAAGTAAATTCAAGTTTTGCATCTTCGCCGCAGCGTTAGGCTTCAGGCCCGCAGCACCTGACGAGGTGTACGCATTTAGTTGTACATAGCCGGAGCCTTTGAACTTGTTTAGTGATTAGGGCTTAGCCATTTGTTCGAGAAGTTTAAGGCATGGGGTTTGCTTTGCAAAGGTACAAGGCTGATTGAAGGAAGAAAGCTTTGGAGCATAGGGCTGCCGGGAAGCAGCTAGAATCGTGGAGGGTGATAGTCCTTTACTTGACCCTAAACTCTAAACCCACGATGTATCTTTGGGTTCCCTAACAGTCTCGGAAAGATTTTTGACCAGCATTATCCTCTTAATGGTACTTATGCACAGCATGCAAAGTTTGCAAAGTTGATCACCCTAAACAAACCCTAAACTCTCAGTGCTAAACCGTAAACCCTGTACCTAAACCCTAACTTCCAAGAGCTGGTATTTTCCATAGATAGGGAGACCCCAATGTAGACCCAAAAATATTGTGACCCTTATTATGGGGACCCCCCAAAGCGGCACCCCTAATTTTAGGAAACCCCTAAGCCCTAAACCCTTTATATCCTTATATAACCCCTATATAACCCTACATAACCCCTATATCGCACGCTTACTTTTGGGAAACAAGCAGCTCAGGATCATGGGCGAACAAGCAGCAGCATACAAGTGCCAAAAGGCTTGCAAGGTGCTCTTGGGCGTCGGGTTTAGGGTTTAGGGTTCAGGGTTCATGGCATTAATGTGGGATGCCAAAAATCGCGTGCAGCGTGCAGAGTGTAGTGGATCAAGGGAATCTTGCACCACCTTATCTACCCAGTATTCCAATCTATATAGTAGCTTCAGGATCCTAAGTGTGCAGCATTTCCCGCGGACCATCGATTCTAGGGATCCCTATGAAGGGTCTAGGATTTAGGGATTATGGTTTGGAACTCAGGGATTCCAGCTTCGGGGTATAAAGGCTTCTGCAGGGGCAGTTTTGATAGACTCCCATCTAGGGACCAAAGCTTCCCAAAACCCTCTACCCTAAACACCCTATACCCTAAATCCTAAACCCTAAACCCTGCCTAAGCTCCCAAGAGCGCGGAGGATGGTGTTCCAACAAAGAATACCTTCGTGCACTATGATCTCGAGCTCGTGGACAGGGAGGTCGCTGTTCTTCGGGGCTTGGGGTTTCGGGTTTCGGGTTTCGGGCTTGGAGTTTCGGGCTTGGGGTTTAGGGTTTGGGGCCTCGGGTTTAGGGCCCAGGGTCTCGGGTTAAGAGTACTGGAGAATCGAAGACAGAAGATGAGATTAGCAAAGAAATGAAGCTTGGAAGACAAAATGGAAGCTACTATAATTACCGGGGGTTATATAGGGACTACTAGAATCCATTCCTGCACTCGGTGCTAACCAGAGCTAAGTGTTGCATTGACGGCTGCACGTTTCAACAGCAATACGTCGGATTCATATTACGAGTTGAGGAAACCTTCTGATTCCCTCTTCACATCTGTGTTTATAGCTTAGAGGCCGCCTAAATCCTAAACCCTTCTTTGCTTGCAGCAGCGTCAGGATACCATCCTAACTCGCAGTTTTCAAGAGGTTCAAGTACCACTAACCAGTGTGTTGTTTTGCGTGCTAGCTCATTGGGGTTGTATATGGATATACCGGGGCTATGCATGGATACATCGGGCGTTTAGCAATAGATGGGGAGATGGGGCCCGTGGTCTTTGAGTGGTGCTTTGTTTGTATCTACCTGTGCCAACATAGACTCAGCTTATATCCTCTATCAGGTATAGTATTTGAGAGGAATGTAGTCTTAGTTTTTTCAGCCACCAGAAAGAAACAAAACAGCACCACTCGATTGAGGCCAGCGGTGGTGGTGGTGCCATGAAGAGGGTAGCCTCTTGCCCATGCTTCTTGGCAGGATGTCCAATACTTTTTTGTGGAACCTTCAATGTCCCAACCCCTATGGCCCTAAATAATCCGTGCAACTTCATAGGAACTGAAACTGATGAAACCCTAAATCCCTAAACCCTATAGCCTAAATTGTAGTTTCCATTTTCTGTTCCATTATTGGAATAATGGAAAGAAATGGAAGCTACAATTTAGGCAGTAGGAAACTCCTGGCAGAGGCATCCTGGCAGACGTTGAGTGCGTTCAAGGGTCAGATGAGCCTGAGTCACCCAAGTCCGTGTCGGGGGACTCTACCATGACGAATACCACCTTTGGAGAAGAGGCTCCTTGGGAGAAATCTAGGATTTAGGGTTTAGGGCGGGCGGATTTCAGCAGCAAGTCATATGGAATGCAGGGCTAACATAAGGAAACGGCTTTGGGGTCGGTATTTGCTCAAGATGTTGGGGTCCATCTTGGGGACCCCCTTTGAAATAGGAGAACTACGACGACGGTGGATCTGCCTGTGCTATACATGACAATGAGCATTTTTGATTGCTATTGCAGTCCTCCGGCTTTCCCTATTCCACAACTAAAAAAGCGAAGAGGAGGACGGCAACTTCTGCTGCTGTTGGCGCTTATGACTGCTATGTTGTCCTAATCGCTGTTCTTGTCTCTTTCCAACCACTACCATTAACATAGCCCGCCCCGCCCCCGCCCCCGCTGCCGCCGCCGCCACTTCTACTTCTACAACTACTTGTACTTCTTCTAGCTGCACTTCCACATCCTGGGTTGCTGTTAAGGAACTTAAATTAAGATACCATAATGGGTATATATAGTAAATAATAGGGTTTCCCCAATATAGTAACTTAATTTAAGTTCCTCAACAGCTACCCAGTCTACTTCTACTTCCCCAAGCCCTAAACCCTAAACCCTACTTCTTCGTCTTCTTCCGCTTTTACTGCCGCCCAGGTTGTTGGCTTCCGGAGCGCCTCCTCCTCCAAAGAAACCAGCCAAAGCCATTGGCCACCCCCCTCTTGGCAGGAGCAACAAGCTGCTAAGACCAGAAATGGGGGTTTCCCAAAATTAGGGGTACCATTTTGGGGGTCCCCATAATAAGGACCATAGTATTTTAGGGTCTATATTGGGGTCCCCCTATTTTGGGAAACTACCAAATGGTAATTTGGTTCAGGGTTTGGGGGTTGAGGGGTTTAGGGGTTTAGAGTTTAGGGTTTAGGGTATTTCCACAAAGAGAATCACCCTTCTTTCGACCCCAAGATATGAAACTCCTCATTAAGGTATGGGTAACCTCAAAAAGGGATCCCTGGTTTGTGGAAACCAATCTAAAAATTGTGGTCTGTTGGATTTGTGTGAGAGTCCTCATAAGAAATCAAGGCACGCAGCTCGTACTTCTTCATTTTTTCTGCGGCCACTCCACATCTTAGGCTGCGCTGTCTAGCAACCAAAATGCAAGGGGTCCGGCTTTGTCCCCCAGTGCGGCTTACCCGTCTGCCGACGATGCCTCGCCGGTGGAGGCGGAGACCGGCTCCAAGTGCTTGTACTATAGGGGCCTAAATATCTAATTATATTATGGTTCCATATTCCGTGTATAATTATAGTATATCGTACTTCAAATAAGACTTCAAAATTATATTGGTAATTATTTAGGCCCCTATACTATACACCCGGATATACGTTTTAGGGTTAAGGGTAAGGAAGGGAAAAGAACATGGAAACTACTGCGTGATTTCGGGTTTAAGGTATGAAAAGAATCCCCGCACACACCCTGATTAATGACAGAACTACCCCGCTACTCTTATAGATGCTGCAATATTGGCAATACCTAGACCCCCAAAGTATGTAGAATAATGGCCTCTTGGGCTATGATTATGGGTTTAGGGTAGTATTTTACATACTTTTGGGGTTTGGGTATGGGTTAGGGTTGAGGGTTTGGGCTCAAATTGTTGTTAGCCCTCCGTATCAGGCGAAGACCGCTCTCAAGTGCCCAGCCCATTTGGGTGCTTCCAGTTCCTCATGCAGCCAGGTGCTGCGGGTGTCTTCGGTTTAGGGTTTGGTGGGGTTTAGAGTTTAGGGTTCAGGGTTTTCTGGAGACAGTGAGTGGATCATGAGTGTCTCTACGTGAAGGGAGTACTGTAGAAGCCTGAATCATTGCCAATAGTATTCCCTCAGAACCCTCTTTCATGTTTGATAACTACGAAGAACGATATACCCCATAACCCGATGCTAGTTAAACAGGCCCTGCAGTAGAAAAAATGGTTATAGACCAGTTTCTATTTCATGTTGCATGTCCTTTCCCATGTGGTGCTTGCCAGAATCCATATGCGTCCTGTATGCTGTTTACTGCTAAGCCCCGACTCCCTGCGGCTGTAAACCCTAAACCCTATATCCCACCCCCAATCCTAGACCCTAGATCCTATAGACCCCAAGACTTGAATCCTCAACCCCAAGACCTAGACCCCACACCCTCAGACTTTAACCCTCAGCACTTTAGCCTAAACCTTAACCCTATATGACGCCAATATACACCTGATATAAACTCTATAACCCATAAAGGTATAGCCTTAAGCCCTCAACCCTCAACACTAAGCCCTTAACCCTAAACCTCAAACCCTATATAACCCCTACAGCGACCGTATAACCCCCGAAGGTATACCGTTCAGCCCTAAGACAAGAATGTTGATCCCAAAACCCTACACTCTCAACCCTAAACCCTATTTAACCCCTTATATAACCCCTACATAAAGTCTCTATTAGCCTTTTAAACCCTTTAAAGCTGTAACCTTAAGCCCTAGAACAAAAATTCTGCGGGGAACTCCCACCCTAAACCCTAAACCCTAAACTCCCACCCTAAACCCTAAACCCTAAACTCCCACCCTAAACCCTAAACCCTAAACCCAGGTGGCTGTTCAGCTCGAAGCGTTCGGGCTTGAGCCCGGGGAGGCGAATCAAGTCCGGCCAAAGACGGCATCCAGGAGGGAGGGTGTAGGGTTTAGGGTGTAGGCGTTCAGGGTTTAAGGGTTTAGGGTCTAGGGTTTGGGGGTTTAGGGGTTTAGGGTTTGAGGGTTTAGGGTGTAGGAGTTTAGGGCTTAGGGGTTAGGGCTTAGGGATGGAAGCGAAGTAATGGAATAGAATGGAAACTATTGCTTGGGGTTTAGAGATTCGGGCCCTAAGTTCGGCCTTGGCCTATAAGCACCATAAATCCAAAAGGTCTCAAGTCAAACCCTAAACCCTAAAGCATAAAGCCCTGGTTTGAGATAGTCCCAGGAAGCGCAAGCCAGTGAACATGAAGAAGCTGATCAACAAGGAGATCATGCAAGCACTCACAGGCTTTGTCTAGGGTTTGGGCCTAGGGTTTGATACAGGGTTATACAGGGTTAGGTCTCTCTTAGTCTTTCTAAGCTTCCTCGAGGAGAGTACACAGGGCTTCTCTGAAGTCCAATTGAAGTGAATGGGAAATCAGTTTTAGGGCTTAGGGCTTACGATAGGCTAGAGCTGGCGGTGCTCCAGGAACTTTTGCTTCACTATGTGTTTGGCACCACCCCACCCTCCCAGAGTCCCTTCTTATTTAACCGTATTCACTCACCTTTTGTCTTGCTTGATTCAGTCGGTACTATCTACAATTCATGTCTTAATTCAATGCGCTTAGCAGGTAGGGGCATGCGGGTGCTCGAAAATCCTAAGTCCTAAGCCCTAATACCTGAATCCAATCGATCAAAAAGGATCCACCGCCTTGTTGAGGATTAATTATGTACATATATATATATATATTATATGTATACGCACACAGGTAGAGAGGGTTTAGGGTTTAGGATTTATAGGGTTAGTTTAAGGTGGATTGCAGCGTTGCGTACTTCAAGCTTATCTTCTAACTTCATGCCCTTTGCCAGAACGTCCCTAATGTCTTGTAGCCCTGTGTCAACACAGAGCAAATCTCTTTTCTGGTGTACTGCTTGAAATGATGTTTGATTATTACGGGCCATATGCTTTAAATCATTCCAATAAAGCCATAAGAATAAATCTCTACAATCTATTACCCCATTAGCCTAGGGCGCCTAATTCTATCCCAGCCCTGGATTAAATTTGTAGTATGTCCCTTAATGGGTCCCCCCCAAAACCCTATATAGTCCCCCTTAGGTCCCCCCAACCTAAATTCAGTCCGTAGCTTATCCCAGAATTCTGCAGTGGAGGCACCGAGGTCCTCAATGTTGTTGCCAAGCGCCTCTCTCAGATGACACTGGGCCGTTTGAGGATGTTGCATAGGGCTTAGGGTTTAGGGTTTAGGGTTTAGGGTGTTGTATAGGGCCAATATGGGGGATTATGTACCTATTACCCCCAATAATGGAGAATCAAATGGAAAAGCAAATGGAAAATGAAATGGGAACTGGGATTATAGGGTAGTTAATAGGGATTATATCAAAATCAAATGTACTATAGTCTAATCGCCTTAAAAGGGGGTTATATTGGGGATCATATAGGTGAGTAGTATAGGTTTTTAAGAGGAGGGGGATACTAGGAGTTCAGACTATGGGTGATATAGGGGTAACCCTAAGCCCTAAACCCTCAACTTACAAGAGCGGCTGCACAAAAAAAAAGAAGGGCTAACCCTAAAGCCGCAATCTGAGGAGGCTAGGTTTCGATAGGTCCGTTTGTTCCTTCCGCACGGAATCCGCGCATGTTCTGCGTATATTATGGTGCCCTCAGGTTCTGCCGGCTGCCAGCTGTAAGGCTCTTCTTTTGAAGTCACGCTTCCGAGTTGCGTGTCCGCGCTTTGTGAGCATGATGCAATCCTCTGCCCCACAACCCACTAGTATTACATTTGAAATGATTGGGTTGCTGTTAAAGAGTTCAAATTAACAGAAGGTACGCCATGACAAGGGGAACTTGCTATTTACTATATACCCGTAGTATGGTAACTGAATTTAAGCCCCCTAATAACCGCCCAGATGAAGGGTTTCTCTGATCTCCACTCCGGCTGTTCAACTGGAACTGGATGCGGTACCGGTTTAGGGGTTAGAGTTCCCCTTAAGTGGATAGAATATGGCTTTGGGTATATTATAATAAAAACCCATATATCCCATGTTCTTTCTAAAGGGGGACTGTAGGGTTAGGGTGTAGGGTGGGACAGAACTACTCGAAGAGCGGCTTCAGGGCAGAGGCCGGCAGATGGAAATCTTAAGAGGGGCGTGACGCATTGTCGTATTATAACAGGGATCCAAAAAGGGACCATAATTTTGACAACCACCCATATATACATATGCACCAGTTTCCATTGTATGCTCCGCTTTCTTGCATTCGTGTTCTTTCTAGCAAGCCTGAATCAGAGTCCTTACGTTAGAGAAGTTTCAATCCAGTGGTACAGAATATCCTTCAGTCGCTTAGAAGTTCCTTCTAATCCTGAAGCCTTCACCCCCCCAAACCGAAAACCTAAGAATCCCAAGCCTTATACCAAAACCCTAAACCCTTCATAAATCTTGCATGCTCTGCCAAGGAATGGAGTCAACTTGGCCACGGGCTTCCATCGCCTGGCCCGGAGCAATGTGGCTATGGAGGACCACCTCCCCCTTGCACCGATCATCCTCCATTCTGGCCTTTAGGGTTTAGGGTTTAAGGTTTAGGGTGTAGGGTAGGGTTTAGGGCCTAGGGTCATTTAGGGTGTAAGGGTTGGAATCAAATGGAAAGAAATGGAAAATGATATCACAAATGTGGTGATAGCGGTTTGGGGTTTCCAGAAGAATCGGATTAGTTCATTTTATGCTGACTTGGAGTTTGGGGTCTCATGTAGGTTTTGAGGTCATGTAAGTTTTTGGATAATTTGGGGTTTTGGGTTTGGGGTAAGTTCATAAGGGCTAGCAATCTAAGTAAAATGCCGGAGATGGAGTAGGATTTTGTCTCTTTGTTACGGTAGCTTGTAAGAAACTTAGAATGGGGAGTCAGTTGTTTGAAGTTTGAGGTCTTTTCAGGATTCTGGGGATTGGGGGTGCTGAGTGTTGACGTAGTAGAGTTTGAGGGCTTAGGGATTTGCGATTTGACGGTCTAGCTTTTAATGTTGAGGGGTTGGGGCATTAAGGCCTACGCATTGCACATTTTGGATGGTTTTTTGGCTGGGGGTCATTACAACGCGAGCACTTGAGGGCATGAATGGCACTTAGACTTTTTCAGGCTCATAACGCATTGTGGCATCTATGACCCTTTCGGCAGAAGAGCGGGCACATTGAAGTTGCAAGTGTCTTGTGGATTTCTATTACAGATCCCTAAGCCCGCGAACCCTAAACCCTAAACCTTAAACCCTAGAGCACACTTTGACCAGAGACCTAAATCTTAAGCCTTTGATCACCCGAAGCTCTTGGCGTCTTTTTTAGGGCTTAGGGGTTTAGGGGTTTAGGGTTTAGGGGTTTAGGGGTTTAGGGATTTGCTAAAGGGTCTAGGGACTAGGGAAGACCAGATCGATACGGGCCTAGTAATTACCAATATTGTTGTTCTGGGTATTTGTATAACTGTGGTATAGGGTACCTAGTACCTAAAATAGACCTCAGATTGACACGGATCAAAATGTAGGCTTTGTCCGCGTTATTCGCGCAGTTTCCATTTCATGGTTTATTTTCTTTTCCATTTGACTCTCCGCTATTGGAGTAATATGTCCCCTATAGTGGTTTCATTTTCTTTCCCATTATACAAACCCTATACATCCCTTATATGATCTCTACGGCACTTATCCTGGCTTCATAGACCTTCACAGCTTGCCTACCCTAGGGTTTAGGGTTTAGGTCTTACTGTTTGGAGTTTAGGGTTAGGGTTTGGGGCAGCGTTGCAACTTGTTTAGGGTTTAGGGTTTCGGGAGGTCATGCTAAAATGTCCCCCTGAGCCCTGCTTTGCTTCTCCTGGCATTCGCAAAGACTTGCATGCAGTCGACTTGCGGAACCCCATAAATCTATAAACAAGCATACTCAAAGTGGACATCTAGGGTTTAATGTCAGGTGGAAGTGTTGCTTCCTGACGCTCATTCTTTCACCCCTACATGCGAAGTGCCACATTATACTTTGTACACAATTGCTATATAATGTATAGGCCTTAGTAATTTGTGACAGCATCGCCCTTATGACCATTCTATTAGTACACAGATCTAGCATACCTGCAGAACCCTGTTGAAATTATGTAGACCTGTGCATTACAATCTCAATATAGCACCTACATACTTGCCCAGCTTCCATTTCCCAATTTCTTATCCATTTGAGTCTCCTCCATTCTAATCATCTAGTCCCATGCTTTGTCCCTGAACCCAGTACCCAAACCCTGAAAACCCAAATCCCCTATAACCCAATTGGAGGCGCCCATACGAAAACCCTAACCCCTACCTAGACCCCCAAAGTATGTAGAATCATGGCCTTTTGGGCTATTCTTATTGGTTTAGGGCCATGTTTTACATACTTTTGGGGTTTAGGTAAACCCTAAACCCCAGGAGGTTGCCGAGTCTCCCACTTTCGCCAGAATGTTGGAGCTAGCGGAGAGATCCGCAAAGCATGAGAAGGCCAACGACCTGCTGCAGCTTAATGGTTCAGGATGTTTAGGGTCTGGGGTTAAGGCTCTAAGGTTTAGGATAAGGCTTCAGGGTTTAGGGTTCCAGGTTTAGAGTTTAGGGTTCAGGATTTAGAGCTCAGAGCTTTCGGATTTTTAGTTGGAGTCTGGGGTTCTCGGGCTTAGGGTTGAGCGCCATCTAGGGTTTAGGGGGTGGAGCAGTGAATGCAGATACCATTCGAGGTGAGTTTGCGGTTTAGGGTTTAGGGTACCCGGATCCAACCCCTGTGAAGTACCAATAGGCGAGTCGCGATGGAACGCTTCCTGCCAACTGTTGCACCATCATCGCTTGGCCGCTTGGGCTCCAAACTGTATGATTAGGGTTTAGGGTTAGGAACTACCCGAATTCCACCTCATGGGAAAGTAAGTAGCCAATGACATGCGAATTGGACTTCTATAGGGTTTGCAGGATTTTGTAATGTAGGAGCCAGCAAATTACCCATGTGATTCCCTTATCTGGCGCTGAAACTGCTACAGAGTGATACCCCAACCATCTTCTGATATTTGTAGGCCCCTACATCAGTCAAGGTTTAGGCTCAGGAGGTTGTTTTGGGGTGGGTAAATCCTAAACCCTAGTGTAAGCAGGACACTAGGGCAGTGCCAGCTGGCATCTCCGAGGGTTCATGACTTGGAGAAAAGGTCCCGGAACAAAATCAAACCCTAAACCCTAAACCATACTAGGAGTGGGGTTACAATCCCAGATGGCGTTCGCAGGGGTGCAGAGTTTTGCTAGACAGGGTTAAAGGTTTGGGGCCGTTCGCCCCAGAATGGCAACCTGTACCTGGCACCAGGGCGTACTCCTAAGCCATAAACCCTAAGCCCTAAGTCTTGAATAAGACTCATTCCGGGGCCAGGGTTTTGGATGCAGACATTCTCCTACACTTACAGGGGCCTCCCCTCCAGGGGCCACGAATAATCGCCAATATTTGTCTGAGGTTTGTTTGCTATATTGCTTTACCATGAGGGACCACAGTATTGGCGTTAATCTTAGGCCCCTACACAATACAACCCCTTAACACGTATTGGGGGTAAAATCCCTGAACCCGAAGTATCCCGGTATCCCCTAGCCTCACCCCCTAGGCCCTAAACCTCTTAAAGCCCTAAACTCTAAACCCCTGAACCTCTCAAAGCCCTAAACCCCTAAACCCTAAACCCCTAAACCCTGAACCCTAAACCCATTCCACCCTAGGTCTTGTGCCCAGCTACAGCAGTTCCATCCATCCCTCTTCGCGGCTCTGACAGTAGTGGCCGCGCCACAGCTCAGCAGCTGCCAAGACTACGAGGCGTTTGGGGTTTAAGGGTTAATGGTTTAAGGGTTTAAGGGTTTAAGGGTTTAGGGTTTAGGGTTTTAGGGTTTAAGCGTTTAGGGTTTAGGGCTTAAGGGTTTAAGGGTTTAAGGGTGTAAGGGTTTATGGATTTAGGGCTTAGGGTTGAGGGTTGGGGTGGGAGTGGGTCTTATCAGAGATCGTATTTTAAAAGGGATTCCAGGGATATGTCAGTGTGGCAGAGCGGCTACATTGGGAGATGCAGGGATACATAGACTCTAGGGTTTCCATAAATTCTGCATCCCTTTGTTTGGGTACCCTAGTGTAATTTAGGTGGGTTGTGTGAGGGTTATAGAAGGTCTGGGGGTACACAGGTCCTGTGGGGGTGGGATCTTGCAGAAAGCATATAGAGTTTCAGATTTCTTTGGGTTCCTTTCTTGGGGGGGGTACCTTTCTTACGGATTGTAGTACTGCGGGGTCTATATTTGGGTTCCTTGATTTGAGAAACCACCATATCGCGCTTGCTCTAGATTTCGGTCCCTTTGTGATATGTTCAGCTTTTGTTTAGGGTTCCCCAAAGACTGCTCATGATTTGAACAAACCCCTGCCGGCTTGTGTAGGACTTTCATGGTGGTCCTCGGAGGGTGTTGAACTCAGGGAAGGCTTGGAGTTCAGAACGCCAAGCCAGAGAAATCAGGTGCAGTCATCCAAGAGGTGCCCTTCAGGTCCTATCCCCCCTTGGGTCGGCATAACTAGCTTGGAACGAATTGCGCGCAACCCAACTCCGTTTATCCCATCCCCAAAATCAAATACACCATAAAAGTATAGACAGCTTCTATGCATGGAGTTGTGTTTTTTGGCGGGGGTGGGGGGGGAGGGGCGCGTCATATTCTGGAAGTGGTAACCCTAACCCTTAAACCTCTAAACCCTAAACCTTGAGCACCTCGGAACCCCTCGTCGTTCAGGTGACGAACCTGTTGTGGTCATTTGCGGAGTTCTACAAATACGACCAGGCCTTGCATCAACACCCTAGACCCCAAAGCACGTCTAAAGTTTAGGGTCTAGGGTTTCAGGGTTTAGGGTTGCACTCTGAAAACCTAAAACCTGAACCCCAAACCCTAAACCCAATTCCGGTGAAGAGACACCTTCTGAGAACTGATAATTTGTGGGCGCCCTGTTTAGGATTGAGGGTTTAAGCCCCATTTTCAATGGGGCCTTCCTAGAGCGGGTTGTCTTCTCTTTGGGGACTCCCCATAGGATTTCAACCTCATTATGGAGGTTGGAGGGTAATTAGGAAATGCTACAGCCAGAGTACCCATATAATGCTGCAGCTGACCTTCGAAAATGCCTGTCAGACCTCCTCCTCGAATCCGGGGTCCCTTGAGGTATTCTGCATCTTGGGTGTTGCGCAAGGCCTTTCTCCGTGTATGGGGTCCTAAGATCTTTATATGTTCAACCAGGGACCTTTTTAGTCCCAGGCTATTGGGGATCTTAGGACTTAGTTATTCGTGCACATGACACGAAATACGAATGAACAGTTAACAAACCTCAAAAATGTCGCACGTCCAAGAGGCCCTTGGAGACATAAGCTTTTCCTGTAGGGCTTGACAGGCAGGGAATGTATCTTTAACCCAGACCCCCCAAAAGGATCCAAAAAATGGAGGCCCCCCAATATGAACCGATTACTGCATTGGGGAAACTGGGGGATTTTAGGGAGCTCCATTTTTTGGATCCCTAAACCCTAAACCCTATTTTTTTTTTGGATCCTATAGAAAGGTTGTGGAAGGTGAGGCCCCCCAATTCAACGGTAGGCGGGTGGTACTAAAGCCCCAGACCGTCGAGGGCCGAGCACGCTCAGGTTAAGAGCTGCTTAGGGCTTAGGGCTTAGGGCTCAGGGTTTAGGGTTTAAGGGCTTAGGGTTTAGGGTTTAGTGTTTACGGTTTAGGGTTTAGGGCGTAGGCGGCGTTACCGGAGATGTGTGGGGTGCACTGAAGCGAGATCCGGGTAAACCTGACACCTTACACTGAGCCCGAAACTTCAAACCCTCAACTACTGAAAATCTAGCCCTCCATCCCAAATTCTAAAGTCCTAAACCCTAAACCCTAAACCGTCCTAAACCCACAAAGCCTAAAGCCTTGCCCCAACGAATCTCAGAAACACCACGGTGGTAGTTGTCAAAAGTACATGAGCCCCAATACAGACTCCAAAGTTCTAGAATCCTTCTTATAAGGACTCCCTCTACACCCCTAAATGCCTAAATCCCCTAAACCCTAACCCCCTAAACCCTAAACCTTGTTCTTCAACAACCCCTAGGTTGGTGCGGAGACCTTGACCGCAGAGCTTACCCTTCTTCTAGAGGCAATGGCTGACTACTTCATGAACCGAGGCTACCTGTCATGAAGGGGGCTTTTAGGCTTAGGATGTAGGATGTTGGGTTTTAGGTTGAGGCTTTTCGGGCTTAGGCTTTGAGGGTTTAGGGTTTTTGGGCTTATGGCTTAGAGTTGATGGGTTTTCAGGGTTCAGGGGGTCTCCGGGACTGGTGGGGTGGGGATGGTTTACCCGGACCCCGAATGTATGTAGAAGAATGGTCTGTTAGACTCTTGCGTATGGGCTTTTATCCATTCGGTCTTTTAGTCTGTTGTTTGAGGGTTCTGGGCCGCTAGGTCTCTCAGACTTTTGATTATGATTTTTGGGCTATTAGGTAGGGCCCTAAACCCTAAAACCTAAACCCTAAACCTTCAAATAGCTTATGCCTTTTGGGGTCGAGGGGTAAAGGGCCCGTGATTGAGCAGCTTGTTGGTCTTTGAGCTTCAGGAAAGTTGTTTAGGGATTTTGCCTGTAGGGCTTAGGGGTTTAGGGACCCTAAACCCTAAACCCCTATACCCCTAAACCCTATTTAGGGTCTTCAAGGTTCGGATTGAGGTCCCCTGCGTAGACTTTACAGATTACACAAATGGGGGCTTCCTTTGGGCGCATGGGTTTCGAGCCTTCACGGGACTTCAACATAACCCACAGGAAGCAGACCCGATTCCCAAGTCCCAAAACCCTAAATCCCAAAACCTGAACCCCAATCTCCTCACCCGTCATGTCGAAGGGTTCCTCCATCAAAGCGATATCCTGGGGCCTCTTCAAAGGAGTGCTGATAACAAGTGCCAAAAACACTACCCTAAGCCCTAAACCCTAAGCCCTAAACCCTAAACCCTAACCCCTAAACCCTAAACCCCAAGCCCTAAACCCTAAACACTAAACCCTAAGCCCTAAGCCAGGTCAAGAGAGGTTCAAAGTTCAAGTCCTAACGTCGGCGTTGATGTCCGTAAGCTCTTTGCCTTGGCGACAGACTTTCTCTCAAAGCTGCTCTGCCGTTTTAAGAGTTTAGGGGGTTGAGGGTTTAGGGTTTTAGAGTTTAGGGGGTTGAGGGTTTAGGGTTTAGGGGTTGAGGGTTTAGGGCTTAGAGTTTAGGGGTTGAGGGTTTAGGGGTTTAGAGTTTAGGGGTTGAGGGTTCAGAGTTTAGGGGTTGAGGGTTTA